CCAGTGGATCCCTCCACAGACAGACTCACAGGACCATGAGCAGGGATCCAGCAAGGATCCAGCAGGGATCTCCAGAGCCAGCAGATGACCTGACACTCTTCTGCAAGGCAGCTCCAGGATGGCAGCACACACATCCCACATGCCAGCACAGATCCCTCCTAGGGATCCACATCCCAAGTTTATCCCTCTCTGAGCTGATCCCCCAGGATCCAGCAGGTATCCCCAGCGCTGGGAGCACACTTGTCTCTGCCAGGCCAATCCCAGACACCATCCCCAGCCTGAGCTGCGGCGCCAAGGGGATCCGGCTCCAGGGAGATCCCAGGTGGTCCAGCACCAAGCTGATCCTGCTCCAAGCGGATCCCGCTCCAAGCGGATCCTAGCTGATCGCCGAAGGGCGGCGCTGGGCGGATCCCTCCCAGGGCAGATCCCTGGAATATCGCACAGGGCTGCGATCCAGGAGGGATGATCCCACCGCGGGAGGGAGGAGGTGTGCGGTGTGTGTGTAACCCACCGCCCCCCGGCTCCCCGACGCTACACACACCCCCCTGCCAAAGTTTATCCCATCGCGGCGCCATTTTACCGGCGGGGAAACTTTCGGGCGGGCCGCTGTCAGCTGTCACCGCCCCCCCCGCCGCCGCCGCCGCCGCCTCCCCCGGATCCCACCCCCATGTCCGCCGCCGCCGCCCCCCCCGCGGTACCTTGGCGGCGGCCCCGGCGGGCGGCGGTGGCGGGCGGCGGCGGCGGCGGGCGGGCATTAGGACCGCGGGCGGGCGCGGGGGGTCCATGCGCGGAGCGGCCGCGGCCCGGCGGGGGGGGCGAGGGCGGGGGGGAGCGCGCTCCGCCGCGCGCGGCCCGGGGTCGGGCGCCGGCCTCTTGGCCACGCCCCCCACGCGCCTCGCCATTGGCCGGGCCGCGCGCGCTGGAGCGCGGCCGCCGCTTTCAGACATTCTGATTGGCGGTGGCGCGCTGTCACTCCGCCCCCTCTTCCCGCCGCGGTCACGCCCCCTCGCCCCGCCCACCGCTGTCACGCCCCCTCTGCGCCTCGGCCACGCCCCCGCCGGCCGCGGCCATGTTCGCGCGCCCCGCCCTCCTGCCGGGCGCTGCCCGCGGGACCCCCCAAAAATACGCCACACTCCCCCCATCCCACCCACCAGCTCCAACCAACGTCACCCCCTGCCCCCCCACGTCCCGGCACCCCTGGGACCCTTCCCGGCACGCCTGGGGCCGCCGCGAAGCCACGCCGCGCTTTCCCGCCAAAGTCGCGGCGCACCCCAAAAAGTTGCGGAGGAACCCCCCCCGCCCAAAAGTCTCTCCGATTTTTTGTTACGGCGAGGAATTTGGGGCGCCCCCACAAAAAAAGACACCCCCCCAACTCCCGGCAGCTCCTTCAGACTTCCCGGGGTGAAGCTTTCCAGCGTTCAAACTTGGGGAGTTTCTCCCCCAAAGGTTATGCCGCCCCCCCCCCCCAAATTATAGGGCTACGGATGAGTTAGAGGGGTTCTCCAAAAGTTGCAGGGCTCCCCACAAAGTGATACTCCCCCAAAAATTATAGGGCCCCCCCAAAATTCCCTCCGAAGTTTTAGACCCACTGGAAGTTGGCTATAGGGCTCCCCCAAAAGTTACAGTGTCTCTGTGCTGGGAAGGAGGTGTGGTCTGCATTTCTGGGGTGGGAGGGCGGTCCCCAATCCCAATCGATTTGGGTCAGTCCTGCCCACCACGAAGAATCGCTGCCCAAACCCACCCAGAATGGCAGGGCTGGGTGTGGCATGCCCGGGGTGCTTGGGGTACTGGGGGTGCTTGAGGTACCGGAGTACATGGGGTTCATAGAGTGCATGGGGTGTCCTGGGCATGTGGGGTGCCCTGGGTGTGTGGGTTGTGTAGTGTACAGGGGGCGCAGGGGGTACTGGGGTGCCCAGGGTTATGTGGGGTGCATGGAGTACCTGCAGTGCAAGGGGTACGTGGGGTGCATGGAATGCCCTGGGTGCACTGGATTCTGGGGTGCTCTGGGTATGTGGGGTGCATGGGGTACTTGTAGTGTACTGGGTATTGGGGTTCCGGGGTGCTTGGGCAGCCCGAGCTGCCTCCCATCCATGCTCTTCCTCTCCTGCCCCGACTGCCCCCGGGCCGGGAGGGCCGGCGAGGGGCCGCCAGGTCCTGCTGCTGCTGGATTGACCAACCTGCATTCTGGAGGCCGGGACAGAGTCCGTGTGTCTGTCCCGGACGGTGGCCCCTGCCTGTCCCCACCCTGTCTCCCTGCCTGTCCCCCAGCAGACCGCGGCTCAGGGACTTTGGGGGTGCTAGGGCGGCCCCCCGGGGATGCCCTGCCCGGGAAGGCGATGTTCCCAGCTTGCTTCCAGGGGGGCTTTGGCTACACCTTATTCCCTGCTCTGGTGGGAAGGGAGCGGGGTGGCTGGAGGTGCCGCTTCCACCCTGCGCCATGTCCAGGTGCTTTCCTAAATGTGAAATAAAGCAGCAAACCGGTAAAGCCCCCACGGGCCTGGCCAAGAGCCCGGGTATCACCCCGGGACTGCCGCCCGCGGGGTCCTCCTGCATGGAAGGGAGAGACTAGCAGCGTCCCCCGGGAACCGGGACGCCCGCGGGGCCCCAAACCTGCCCGGGGAGAACGGGAGAAGAAGCGCAGCAGCCTTCATCCCCATCCTGTCCTGTCCCTGGGGTGGATCCGGCCCCGCAGCCCCCTTTAGCGTGGCCCTAGAGGAGCCGGGGGGGCCCCCCGTCAGTCGAGGAAGCGCTGGCAGGCCTTCTTCCAGCGGCACGCCGTGCACCACATCTCCCGGTGCTCCATGCCGTACACCTTGCGGCACTTCTTGGCATCGCCCCGCGGCCTCCTGCGGGAACAGGGCACAGACAGGTCACCGGGAGGGGGGACACGCGGGCGGGAGGGGACAGGGAGGGGCGCGACGGCCGCGGCTCACCTGGGGACGGCGGGTGGCTTGGGCGGCGGTGGGGTGGGTGAGGAAGGGGACACCGGTGGCCGCGGGGGGGTCCGGCAGCCCTGGAAGAGAGAGGACACAGCCCCCGTCAGACATGGGGTGGCTGCGGGGGCTGGAGGGTGACAGTGGTGAGTCCCCCGCCCCTCCCTGTCCCCCTCCATCCCTGTCCCCCCTCACCTGGTACGCGTGGTCCGTGTGGACGTGGCAGCGGCCGGGGGGGCCCGGGGGGCTGCAGGGGGAGGCCAGTGCCAGGTCGGGGATCGGCAGTGCCAGAGGCAGCGGCGGAGCCGGAGCCTCGGGGCCGGGAAAGGCGGGAGGCACCGAGGAGGTGGGTGAGACAGGAGTCAGGCTGGAGAGCCCGTCTGTCAGCACATCCACGTCCACGTCCAGCTCCGTGTAGTAGAAATCCTCCTCACCATCACTCTGCTCGGGGTCAGCTTTCCGGCTGCAGGGACAGCAGGGTCTGGCTGCAACACTCTCCCCCTCCACGGCAGGACCCCGCAGGGGGCACCAGGGGACCTGGGGGTGTCCAGGGGGACCCCACGTGCTTACCCAAGGTGCACAGTTCGGATGTGCTTCTGCATCCCTGAGGAGCTGCTGAGGACTTTGCCGCAGCTCTTCCACAAGCACTTGAACATCACCTTGGTGGAGTTCTGCAGGAGAGAGGTGTCAGGCTGGCAGCCCTATCTCCATCACATCCTCATCCCTATCTGCACTGTCATCCCCATCCTCAACCTCATCTCCAGCCCCACTCTCATCCCTAGCATTATCCCCATCCCCAAACCCATCCAAATTGTTATCCCCATTCCAAACTCATCCTCTTCTTCATCCCCACCCTTAACCTCATCCTCCTCTTCATCCTCATCCTCCTCTTCATCCTCATTCTCCTGTTCATCCCCACCCTCACAATCCCTATTCTCAACCTCATTCCCAGCACCAGTTGCATCCTCAACCTCATCCTAAACTCATCCTCCTCTTCATCCCCGTCCCCACTATTCCCCATCCCCAACCTCACCCCCAGAATCATCCCCAGCTTCATCCCACCTTCCTTTTCCGTGGGATGGGCTCTCCAAAGATGAAGTGGGTGCCGTTGGGCTCGTCAGGGCCCTCATCCGGCAGCGGGGTGGGCAGGAAGGTGCCGGGGACGTGGCTGGAGAGGGGGGGTGAGGGGGTGGAGGGGGTGGAGCGGTCGCTGGGGGGGTCCCAGCTCCAGTCCCCGCTGGTGTTGCTGCTGCTGCTGCAGCTGGAGGACATGGCAGGAGCCTCCTTCCAGATTTCACCGCCCGGCTCTGGTGAGGAGGAGGAGGAGGAGGAGGAAGGTCAGGTCCTGCCATGGGACACGTGTCCAGGTACAGGGGGACAAGGACACGCTCTCACCTGGGGCAAGGAGGAGGAGGAGGAGGAAGGTCAGGTCCTGCCATGGGACACGTGTCCAGGTACAGGGGGACAAGGACACGCTCTCACCTGGGGCATGAGTGGCCGGTGGGTGCCCGAGCACCAGTGGGCTGGTGGAGAGGCTGGTGAGCACCGCGGCCGCCATCACCTCGTCAATGCCCGCCTTGCCCGAGAGCTTCCTGCCAGCGAGAACAGGGGGGCTGTGTCAGGATGGATGGGGCCTCCTGAGCCACTCCATCCCTCTCCATCCCCCCATGAGCTGCTGGGAGTGGGGGACACAGTGGTCTGCTTGTGTGAGTGGCACAAGGCCACAGTGGCCACACTGTGCTGGGGGTATCACCAGGTGCAAAGTGGGTGCCCTGCAGCACCCCGAAATGCCGCTGATCCCCGCAGGGATCATCCCAGCAGCTGGCTGGAATCCTCCCTGGCGTGGCATGGCAGAAGTGCAGGCAGCCAGCCAAAAACACTGCTGCCTCCCAGCCCGGGGGAAAACCCTCCATGCCCGTGGGCTGGAGGGTACCAGCATCCACATCCTGCCCAGAGATGTGGGGATGGCTCAGCTTGGGCCAAACAACTCCACGAGGTGGGAAAAAAACTATGAAAAATTTAGATTAAGAAAAAAAGAAGCAAGAGCTCAGGAGCACCAGAAACCATTTTGCAAAGGGATAACCCAGTGCAGGAGGGCAGTGATGCTTCCAGCCCAGCACACAGCACAATGGGAGTCCCCAGAGCTGTCCCAGTGGGATGGATGGTCACTGCAGGACACCCCGGTGCGGCCGACAGCGGTCCCAGTGGGATGGATGGTCACTGCAGGACACCCCGGTGCGGCCGACAGCGGCCAAAGTCCTCCCGTGGCCGGTGGACAAAATCTCATCTGCCCCGGTGAGGCCGGTGCCGGAGGGAGGGTGGTGGCCGTGCCGGTGGCCCTACCTGTGCCAGGGCACGGGGATGCACTGCATGGCCGAGTGCAGCGCCAGGTACTGCTCCAGCCCCGCGTCCAGCACCCGCAGCACGGCCTCCCGGCTGGCTGGATCCTGGCGTGGTGGCGGCTCCCCCAGCCAGCCCTCGGATCCCAGTGGAGCCTGTGGGAGAGACAGAGGTGGGAAGCCAAGAGTCCCTGAGCAGTGGATCCCGCAGGGATCCCCCCACGACTTTGGGTTGGGTTTGGGGAGCTGGATCAGTGCCTCCAGGCAGGGCCATACAGGGACCCTGCCTGCCACCCGCTGGGGTAGATCCCATGTGGATCCCACCAGCTCGCAGTGGCATCCAGCCAGGATCTCCTTGGCACTCCCCAGATAGTCCCGGGAGGCTGATCCCAGTACCAACACCTGCTGGCTGAGCATCAGCAACCAGTGGATCCCTCCACAGACAGACTCACAGGACCATGAGCAGGGATCCAGCAAGGATCCAGCAGGGATCTCCAGAGCCAGCAGATGACCTGACACTCTTCTGCAAGGCAGCTCCAGGATGGCAGCACACACATCCCACATGCCAGCACAGATCCCTCCTAGGGATCCACATCCCAAGTTTATCCCTCTCTGAGCTGATCCCCCAGGATCCAGCAGGTATCCCCAGCGCTGGGAGCACACTTGTCTCTGCCAGGCCAATCCCAGACACCATCCCCAGCCTGAGCTGCGGCGCCAAGGGGATCCGGCTCCAGGGAGATCCCAGGTGGTCCAGCACCAAGCTGATCCTGCTCCAAGCGGATCCCGCTCCAAGCGGATCCTAGCTGATCGCCGAAGGGCGGCGCTGGGCGGATCCCTCCCAGGGCAGATCCCTGGAATATCGCACAGGGCTGCGATCCAGGAGGGATGATCCCACCGCGGGAGGGAGGAGGTGTGCGGTGTGTGTGTAACCCACCGCCCCCCGGCTCCCCGACGCTACACACACCCCCCTGCCAAAGTTTATCCCATCGCGGCGCCATTTTACCGGCGGGGAAACTTTCGGGCGGGCCGCTGTCAGCTGTCACCGCCCCCCCCGCCGCCGCCGCCGCCGCCTCCCCCGGATCCCACCCCCATGTCCGCCGCCGCCGCCCCCCCCGCGGTACCTTGGCGGCGGCCCCGGCGGGCGGCGGTGGCGGGCGGCGGCGGCGGCGGGCGGGCATTAGGACCGCGGGCGGGCGCGGGGGGTCCATGCGCGGAGCGGCCGCGGCCCGGCGGGGGGGGCGAGGGCGGGGGGGAGCGCGCTCCGCCGCGCGCGGCCCGGGGTCGGGCGCCGGCCTCTTGGCCACGCCCCCCACGCGCCTCGCCATTGGCCGGGCCGCGCGCGCTGGAGCGCGGCCGCCGCTTTCAGACATTCTGATTGGCGGTGGCGCGCTGTCACTCCGCCCCCTCTTCCCGCCGCGGTCACGCCCCCTCGCCCCGCCCACCGCTGTCACGCCCCCTCTGCGCCTCGGCCACGCCCCCGCCGGCCGCGGCCATGTTCGCGCGCCCCGCCCTCCTGCCGGGCGCTGCCCGCGGGACCCCCCAAAAATACGCCACACTCCCCCCATCCCACCCACCAGCTCCAACCAACGTCACCCCCTGCCCCCCCACGTCCCGGCACCCCTGGGACCCTTCCCGGCACGCCTGGGGCCGCCGCGAAGCCACGCCGCGCTTTCCCGCCAAAGTCGCGGCGCACCCCAAAAAGTTGCGGAGGAACCCCCCCCGCCCAAAAGTCTCTCCGATTTTTTGTTACGGCGAGGAATTTGGGGCGCCCCCACAAAAAAAGACACCCCCCCAACTCCCGGCAGCTCCTTCAGACTTCCCGGGGTGAAGCTTTCCAGCGTTCAAACTTGGGGAGTTTCTCCCCCAAAGGTTATGCCGCCCCCCCCCCCCAAATTATAGGGCTACGGATGAGTTAGAGGGGTTCTCCAAAAGTTGCAGGGCTCCCCACAAAGTGATACTCCCCCAAAAATTATAGGGCCCCCCCAAAATTCCCTCCGAAGTTTTAGACCCACTGGAAGTTGGCTATAGGGCTCCCCCAAAAGTTACAGTGTCTCTGTGCTGGGAAGGAGGTGTGGTCTGCATTTCTGGGGTGGGAGGGCGGTCCCCAATCCCAATCGATTTGGGTCAGTCCTGCCCACCACGAAGAATCGCTGCCCAAACCCACCCAGAATGGCAGGGCTGGGTGTGGCATGCCCGGGGTGCTTGGGGTACTGGGGGTGCTTGAGGTACCGGAGTACATGGGGTTCATAGAGTGCATGGGGTGTCCTGGGCATGTGGGGTGCCCTGGGTGTGTGGGTTGTGTAGTGTACAGGGGGCGCAGGGGGTACTGGGGTGCCCAGGGTTATGTGGGGTGCATGGAGTACCTGCAGTGCAAGGGGTACGTGGGGTGCATGGAATGCCCTGGGTGCACTGGATTCTGGGGTGCTCTGGGTATGTGGGGTGCATGGGGTACTTGTAGTGTACTGGGTATTGGGGTTCCGGGGTGCTTGGGCAGCCCGAGCTGCCTCCCATCCATGCTCTTCCTCTCCTGCCCCGACTGCCCCCGGGCCGGGAGGGCCGGCGAGGGGCCGCCAGGTCCTGCTGCTGCTGGATTGACCAACCTGCATTCTGGAGGCCGGGACAGAGTCCGTGTGTCTGTCCCGGACGGTGGCCCCTGCCTGTCCCCACCCTGTCTCCCTGCCTGTCCCCCAGCAGACCGCGGCTCAGGGACTTTGGGGGTGCTAGGGCGGCCCCCCGGGGATGCCCTGCCCGGGAAGGCGATGTTCCCAGCTTGCTTCCAGGGGGGCTTTGGCTACACCTTATTCCCTGCTCTGGTGGGAAGGGAGCGGGGTGGCTGGAGGTGCCGCTTCCACCCTGCGCCATGTCCAGGTGCTTTCCTAAATGTGAAATAAAGCAGCAAACCGGTAAAGCCCCCACGGGCCTGGCCAAGAGCCCGGGTATCACCCCGGGACTGCCGCCCGCGGGGTCCTCCTGCATGGAAGGGAGAGACTAGCAGCGTCCCCCGGGAACCGGGACGCCCGCGGGGCCCCAAACCTGCCCGGGGAGAACGGGAGAAGAAGCGCAGCAGCCTTCATCCCCATCCTGTCCTGTCCCTGGGGTGGATCCGGCCCCGCAGCCCCCTTTAGCGTGGCCCTAGAGGAGCCGGGGGGGCCCGGGGGAGTCTCCGCCGCCACCCCTGCTCTGGTTTAATGGTTAACGGCGGCCGAAGCGCTGAGCTGGCGGCTCCGACAGCTCCGTTCGGTGTTGTGCAACTCCACGGGCATCGCCCGCCCTTGCACAGGGCCCCGGTGCCACCAGCCCGACCCCCGGCCCGGGCGGCGGGGGGGGTCGGCAAGGTGCCATCCCAAAATAGAACCCTAGAGCCATAGAATCTCCTGAGTTGGAAGGGACACACAAAGATCATTGAGTCCAACTCATGGCCCCTGCACAGGACACCCTCAAGAATCACCTTCCCGGCACTGGCATTCCTGGGACACACCCCTGTGGTACCTGGATGTCCTTGCCAGGGCCGAGTTGGCTCTGGTCTGGGCTGTGATGACTTTCTCCCAGGTGGTCTTGCAGAGGGAGCCGGGGTCGTGCCCACAGTTCCCATCTCCCCTGGCTGCCTGCCGGGGGGTGCAGGGCTGCCGGGGTGCGGGAGTGAGCTGCAGGGATGTGGGGCTGGGCAGGGTGCGGAGCTGCTCAGGTGTGGAGCTGGTTTGGGTGCAGAGCCGTGTGATGCCGCGCAGCCACCGAGCCCTGCGGGGTGCAGGGACATGCGGGATGTGGATACTTACGGTACAGAGCCCCGCACGGCGCCCAGTACAGCACCGTGCGGTGCCACACCGTGCCGTGTACCGTGTACCGCATCTTGCAGCACCGTGCAATGTCCTACAGAGTGCAGGACTACACGGCAGCCCCGTTCTGCACCGTACGGCGTGCGCTGGGCTCCTGCTCGCTCCCTCTTGTGGGAATAGCACCGTTTAGCACCATCCCCTCGCAGCACCATCCCCTCACAGCGTGACTTAGAGCCCCGTACAGGTCTGTCCCCGGGCCCGAGGAGGGGTGCTCCCAGCCCTACCCGTTCCCCTCGCTCTGACCTCAACCGTCGCGACCAGATCGCAAGACTCCAAGAGACGTTTCGGGGTGGATTCTTCATTCCAGAAGATTTCGAGCCTGCAGGGCTCCAGGCACATTTTCCGTCACCCTGAGGACTGAGCAGTTGTTCTTTAATTTGAGTCTGGCTCTCCGAAGTCCCACAGGAATTACAGGCAAGCAGGCAGCCCTGCACAGTGGGCTGCTTCTGCTGCTGCTGGGGCAGGTTGGGAAGATGCTCTGCCAGAACAGGAGCTTTCCCTCCCTAGGTGCCATGCCAAGCCTTCCTTTCCCCATGGAGGTGGCACAGTGGTACCCACATGCCAGCCCCTGGGGCAGCACGGGGCCCACTTTGCCCCAGAGCGAAGCTGCTCTGATCCCACAGCGAGGTGATGCTCCTGTGTGGGGCCACGCAGCCCAAACCAGCTCCCAGGGGGTTCAGGTGGCGCAGGGGGGACCCGGCTCTGTGGGGTGGGATGACGGAGAAGGGGAGCAGGGGAAGGATGCGGCCGGGGGCAGCGCGGGGGGAGCCCAGGCGCCGTTGCCAGGCTGGCAGCAGGAAGAGCGTGGCAGCACCGGCACCAGCCGAGTTCTATCGGGGCCCTTATCTGGCAGGGGGATGGGAGCAGCTCTCGAGCGGGCGCTGTGGTTTGGCGTCGAGCGCGGGGCTGACGAAGGCTGGGGTGCCTCCGGCTCTAACGCCTGCGGTGGGGTTTGCTGAGCACCACGTTTTCGGTTTTAATCTCTTCACCTGCCGCGGTGTGGGGGCAAAGCTGCTGAAGGAAGGCGTGTGGCTTCCTGCTGCACAGCGTGGCACGGCACGGCACGGCACAGGGGCTGCAGGTTCCACCTGGCTCCAGCGAGCACCAGGCCACTGTGCCACCATGTTAGGTAGCCCCTGGCCAGTTGGGCTACACCCAGGCCACCATTGTGGCATCGCCTGGAGGGCACTGGGCATCCCTTGGGGCAGGGATGCACAATTCCCAGTGGGGAGAAGAGGAGGAAAGCTTAAGCTCTGGGGTCTGAGGGTCCAGGTGCACGTCCAACTCTCCCAAGCACTCAATTTTTGGCACACTGAGGCTGCAGGACCCACGGGGGAGACGGGAGGTGAGCAGGCAGCAAGTGCTGTGCAAATATGCCCCGGTTCCTGCCCAAACCCTGTACAAAGCTCCTGAGCAAGTCACTGCTCTGGCAAAGGCCATCCCATTTTGGCAGCTCTTGGTGGCTGCATGTCCCCATTTCAGAGGTGCCAAACCATCCATGCAGGGCGGGTGCACCCACAGTCACGCTGTGCCCAAAGGGACTTTCCCAGCACCAGCATCGCTGCGTCGCTGCTGCAGCAGCACCAGCCCCCAGAATCACAGATTTAGATCCAGTTAAGGAGTGTTAACACCCTCTCAACCTTTTAATGGTGTTCGGGTGATGGCTGCCCACGGAGACACACTTGCGTGGGTCTGAAGGGGTGGGAATGGGAGACAGAGGATGGAGCAGAGCCCACAGTCCACACTGCCACAGTCCACAACCCACAAGGTGGGATTTCTGGGTTGCCTTGTGCAGGGCCAGGAGTTGGACTTAATGATCCCTTGTGGGTCCTTTCCAATTCAGGATATTCTATGA